GAATGAAATTATACAGTTTTGTCCTTTTCTGTCTGACTAATTCCACTCAGCATAGTACCTCAAGATCCATTCATGTATTCACAGAAGGCAATATTTCCTCTTTCTTATGACCGAGTAGTATTCCATTGTATATAAATACCACATCATCTTTACCCATTTATCAGTTGACATATCAGGTAAAGTGCATCAAAGATAGCTAAAATGAGGCAGACTCACAACGTCTGTTTTATTTCATTTCAACATTATAAGCAAATGTAGGAGAAAGTTTCATGAATATTTAAAGTCAGAAGGTAACTCATCAACAAATGAAGTACAATAGACATAATATAAGCAGATATGGAAACTTTACAGTTGAGCCTTCATTAGTTCTGACTTAAGACCACCATCCACGATGATTGATACTATTTATGGTGCAATTATTTGTACATTTAGAAAGTAAATATTCTTGATAGGAAACAGTGCATTCAGGCTGTAATCTTTTATTTTTTCCAGGTGGTAGCACTGCGTACACTTTGTAGTAACAGTGTGTCTTTCTTGTGTGCTCTCTTTATTATTAATACTTAAGTTATTAATACTTAAGATGTTCTTGGGAGATAATATACATTTCCTTTATTTTACACAGTAAAATAGAGGCATAGAGAAGGGAAGGAATAGAATGTTCTGTCCTTGGTCTACTTATGACAGTCAGGGAAATGTTAAAGCTTTTCTGACTCACAGACTGACTCAGCAAAGGACAGAATCTTTAATGTGTATTATTTGCAAAATGACCCTAATATCTAATATCATTACCAGTTTCCTTATGGTTACCCTGAAAGTATCTGTAGGTACAGGAGTGTGTTTACTTTGTTATAGGTCAAATAGACATGCACACAATTGTAATACAGACTGAGCTATATTATTGGTGTAAAGAGAATAGAGAAGGATGCAATATTAATTTTAACTGTGAAGGTTTGTGGTATAGGGATTGTCGACCTTGAGGTTAGGGCCTTCAAGGTAGTCTTTACAAAAGTGTAAATTATTGAAAATGTAGAATGGATGGAATGACAAACATTACATTTTGGCTTGAATAGTATGCAAAGATAGGGTATAGAATCAAATAGAGAAGCTTGATCTCTGTACAGTGGATTTTGGGTTTTATTTTGCTGTTCCTAGGCCACACATGGTTTTTAATCAGAATGATATGATCAGGCCTATGCTTTAAGAGAATAACTATTGACAGTTTGTGTCTTGATATTGTAGGAAACCTTTGTAGTAATACAGAAAGAGATGATGGGGGTATAAGAACTAGAATTATGAAATGGAAGGTAGTGAATTTAGAATCAATTTTAAAGACGTCATTGGTAGGTGAAACATACTAAATTGAGATTGAGGTCTGGAGAAATTGAAATGGTAATTTATAATGAAGTAATACCTATTGAATAAAAAATCCTTTTTGTTTTTTGTCCAAACGTTTTCTATTTTTATGTCTTCAAAATATGTTTTATATAATAAACTTAATTAAAATTTTTTTTTGGTTAGATTGAACTGTTAAGAGTCTTTTGGTATTGAATAGATAGTTTTTGTTTTAAAATGCAGGATTTTTTTTTAGTTAGAACTTTTTAAATGGAAAAATATGAGTATATTTATGTATTTAAAATGATTTAAAATGATTTAAAAATAAAGTCTTCCTTCTGCCTTCTCAGTTCTCTAATGGTAACCACTATTAATATTTTGTTGTGTTTACATATATTTTTATGTGATCTCTTTCTCCTCTATCCTTAATTACTTTTATAAAATGGGATCTAATGTACAGTTTCTCAAATTTGCAAAAATGAACATGTTTATGTATGTGTCCAAAAGATAGTCTTTCTCTACCCTGGAATAACAAGAAGCAAAAGCAGATAAACTTGAAATTATGCTTTGTTATCAATGTTTTAGTGTTCTCTCTTAACTTAGAAATGATCTAGTGAGCCAATGATTATCAATTAATTCAAATTAATGTTAATCCAAGGTTTTAAAGTTACCTTTAAAGTTTTTGGAAGTTATCTGTAAGCTAACTTACTATAAAACATAGTTATTGTTGAAATAAAAAGTTTGTCAGAATAATTAATTTAAACACAGGTTTACATTTTCATAATCTTAAACATTGTGTATGAGTAATACTGGCTTATTTGATCAGTAAGCCTATATACATTTCAGAAAAGTTACTCTAATGGAATAAAAATGTACACTTATATTATTCTTAACACAAATGAAAAATCAGAAGACAAACCTATTTTATTAAACTAGTTTTGTTTGCTAGACATTTGCCTTAATTACGTGAACTTGGTTCTTAAAACCTTTCTGAGTTAGTTTATGTAAGAATAATTTTAAGAAGTTTATTTAACATATTTAGAAGATCAGTTTATTTATTTTCTGGCAAGTTTAGTAATATTCAATTTATATAGGTGCATAATTATCTCTATAAGCCAATCAGAACAGAGTTGTTTTAAGAGACTTTATAATACAATTTATTAGTACCCAGTGGAGAAAGGAAAGTATTATGTACTCAAAATGAGAGGTAAAGGCCTTTCTGAATTATAGACAGCCATGTAGTTACTGAGAGAGCTTCCAATTCTACAGTTTTAGCCATGGCTAAAGAGTTAATACAGAAACACACAACTTGACCTGTCTAGGTACAAAAGAGCTATTCTCCTTCCTGTTGGCATGAATTTCTAAAATGATTTGAGCTCAAAATAGGTAAACAAAAGAGATAAATGAACACGTGGCTAATGAATCAGATTCTCCTTTTTCTCTCACCCAGCACAGACTAGATCTGTGTAAACCATTAGTTTGTTTACAGAGATCACTAAATGGAAGTCCATAAAATCAAATTCTCAATCATTGTTATCACCAATGGGGAATAACTTATTGACCATAAATAAACTAAAAAACAAAACAAAATTATAAGAGAGGAAGTTAAAATAGAAAGACAGATTTAGCAAAATTTGATTGTTCTTGATTCACTTCTGGAAGATAAGAAACATGTCTGTGAGGTGTACTACTCTGGCAAAGAAATTACTCAGTTCTGTTAGGTGAATCCATTGAGTATCTTGGGATCTCCAAAACTGTTAAAGGATAAATTTTAAAAGAGAATAAAATCATGACTCCCATTCAGATATCAAATGAACTTATGTTAAAGATATTATTTATCTCATTATTAACAAGGTAGTCAGAGATGTTACAGCTGGTAAAAAGAATGCAAAGAACAAGTCCATTTATAAATTTATAGATCAGAAATATTGAAGTAAATTTGCAGGTGGATGCAAAGCTGGCTTATTCCACAGTGGTGGAGGGAAGTCAGCTGAACTGGACAGAATTTATTTGCATGTCTGTAGACAAGAATTGTTTGCATTACCATTAGTTTTCTATGTGTTAACCACTGTCTTTACAGAGTTATGAAATAGCCCAGTGATAATTCCTGTAGGAGTAAATCATCCCTAGAGGCTCTAGCATTTCACTGGAAGGATATCCAGTAATCTCTTTTACTTATTCCAAAGTCTTGTAATTTCCTTTACAGAATGATTTTTTTTTTTTGCGCCTGTATTCCTGGAGAGTTATTTCTTTATTTTTGTTATTTTCTCTACTTAGACTGGATATGCACTTGGATCTATGGTTTATTTTATTTTTCTTTCTCTACTGTTGAGTTTTTTTCTTCTTTATGTTAGGGATATTTTCTATTATGTCTGTCTGCTTTTTCTATTCTATTTTTTAGTTATCCAGCTTCAGGGATACTAATCTCTCTGTTCAATCTCTGTCCTACATCTTCTATCTAATTGCTTTACTATCTGCCTTTTTTTCTCCTCAGTACTCAGGTTATCTTAAGATAACCTTGACATGAGTTTGATTTTCAGTTTTTGTTTTTGTTTTTTTTTTTCAAATTTATTGTTCTTAATTCCTTAGCTCTATAACTTTTTCAATTTACCTGTTTTGTCTTTTCATCTTTGAGCTTTTGTTTTATTAAATGTATGTTTTTAGTAGCTTGTTCTCTATTACAAAGAACTCACTGAGGGTTTTCTTATTTTCTTTTTTATGTTTCTAGTTTTATGCTCTTGTGTGCATTGAACCCTTTTTGTGTGTTTGTTGTTTTGTATTCAAAATAAACTTGAGAAGTTGAGATTAATAGACTAATCAACTTTATTAATTCATTTTATTTCTCACCCTGACACTAGCTATAGTGTCTTTTTATATTAATGGATGGAAATTCTTTTGAGGTCATTGCTTAAAATGACATCTGGTATTGATTGCAGCCCTTAATGCATTGAACCCTTTTTGTGTGTTTGTTGTTTTGTATTCAAAATAAACTTGAGAAGTTGAGATTAATAGACTAATCAACTTTATTAATTCATTTTATTTCTCACCCTGACACTAGCTATAGTGTCTTTTTATATTAATGGATGGAAATTCTTTTGAGGTCATTGCTTAAAATGACATCTGGTATTGATTGCAGCCCTTAATTCCAGCAGAATTTTTTTTTTTTTTTTTGGTGCTGATGTATTCTTTATCTCTATCCTTCTCATGAGTCTAATGATGAAAGTTTAAAAATGTATACTAGTTTTTATAAGATATGTGTGCTTTTTAAAGAACCCAAATCACATGTTCATATTTTTTAAAGGAGATAATATTGCCCAAAGTGAAAAAATAATGTGGATTGGAAATTGGAAGATGTGCTATAGAAGTGTTTTTTGTTTTTTCTTTTTATACAGTCTTTGGTAGTCTAATTTTATTATTTCTGGATTTTGCTATCATCATCCATAGCCCAAGTTTATAAAAGTGTTTATAAAAATGTTTTATTTATTTTATAACACCAAGTTACTCATTTAATTAGTATATTCAGTATTTACTAAGAGCCCTATAGGAGTCACAGATAGGTTTTGGACTTTGTTGCATTTGATTATATAAGAATATGCATTCTCATTATGTAATAATCTATGTAATTATCCTTATTTAGCAATGTTTAATCTACTTTTTTGTCTCCTCAGATTCTGTCCAATTTTAAGAACAAATGCACCTTCTAGCTCATGGAAGAAAAAACACAAATCAAGACAATTTTGGGTTCCAAGTTGCCGAAGTATGTAACAAAATCTGTAAGAAGTACACTGCAGCCAGTGCCAAATGGGACACCTGTTAATTTATTAGGAGCTTCCAAGAGTAGCAACGTCAAAAGTTACATCAGAAATAATGGCTCTGATTGTCCATCGTCCCATTCATTTAATTGGAGAACGGCAACTAAATACCAGCTTAGTGCACAAAGTGCTGAAGAGCCTAATGATACTGAAAGTTCATATGATAAAGTAATTGATCCTGAAAAACATGGATGTACTCAAGGAATGTTTGATAAAAATGGAATAAAAGGAGGTTTGAAAAGGGTTTCTTTATTCACATCAAAGTTAGCAAAGCCGTCCACTATGTTTGCGTCATCTACAGAGGAGTTAAAACAAAAGTCTTTGTCTGGACCACCTAATTTGGGTAAATTCACCAAAGGTACATTATTAGGAAGGACTTCATATTCTTCAGTCAGTGCTCCAAAATCACAGTTGACTGGATTTTATGGAAATCGATCGACTGGTAGCATACAAAGGCCTAGAGCAAACTCCTGTGCCACCAGAAGCAGTTCTGGAGAAAGCTTAGCACAATCCCTAGACAACATTAAATCTCTTACTTGTGAAAAAATGGTAAGGTCACAGAGTTTTTCACATTCCATTCAGAGTTCATTCCTTTCACCTTCATCTATAACTAGATCCCATTCCTTCAATAGAGCTGCAGATCTTATTAAGCCTTATCAGAACCAACAGCTTCCCATTAGGGTGCCTCTGAGGTCAAGTATGCTAACAAGAAATTCTCAGCAGTCAGAAGTACTCAATGGGAATGAACGTTTAGGGTATGGATTTAATAGACCTTATGCTGCTGGCGGAAAGAAGTTGGCTTTACCAAATGGCCCAGGTGTAACTTCCACTTTAGGTTATAGGCTGGTTCATCCTTCTCTTCTGAAATCTAGCCAATCTCCATTTTCTGGGACTATCACAGTTGATGGTAATAAAAATTCACCTGCTGTCACATGTGTAGAAGAAGATGCTGCACTTTTGGCTAAGGAAAGAGCTACTGATAAGGACCAAGAACTAATTGAAAATGATAGTTATAGAACAGAAAATGGCCAGACCATGAAGCATGATGCTAAAATTAGATACCTGAGTGATGATGTGGATGACATTTCCTTGTCGTCTTTGTCATCTTCTGATAAGAATGATATAAGCGAAGACTTTAGCGATGATTTTATAGATATAGAAGACTCCAACAGAACTAGAATAACTCCAGAGGAAATTTCACTCAAAGAAGAAAAGAATGAAAATGTACCACCAAAGGATATATTTGATTCCCCCAAGGAAAATGAAGAATCTTTCAGTAAAACTGATGAGTGGATAGATACAAGTGTCTCTGGTAAATATTAATATCCTTAACTTTGTTTGTTTTCTCCTAGATAATATAACTGAATTTACATTTAAGGTTATCTTCTGATTAATTCCAAGATCTGTTATCTGCCTTATGACTTTTGCTCCCTGTCCCCCTTTTTTTTACTTTATGTGAAGCAGCAGTAGTAAAACAAACAAACAAAAAACATTCTTTTCCTAAGGTATCTTACTTTTGATCTTTGATTGTTATACACAGGTTTATTCCTACTTTAAAAATTGTTTCCCACTTCTCACAACCAGTGCCACGCCATTTTAAACCATCTCTTCCCTTAGTGGTAGATCATTGCTATTTGTTAAGAGTAAAGCTATACCAAAGGATAAATGAGCTAATATAGGTTATGTCTAATCTAATGATATTTTTTATCCTAAGAAGTTTTTATTTTTTTTAAAGGAGGACTTAGATTTCTTGTTTAGCAAACTTTCTAGCTAATACTTTCAGAGGAACTTTATTTTTTTAATTGAAGAAAGTGAGATAGCACATGTTAGATATTTCCTCTTACACTTGGTTATTCTGGCACTAACTGCTGGAGAAAATTTATCCATGTGCCCACATAGCCTGAAAAAAGAGCAAGCTGAAGGGATTGGGTAGAGACATGTGGTCTGGTCAGGGGACTAGGCCATGTGTAGAGATGTGCATAGCATAAACCGTTGATTCTCTGAGGGTCTTCTGATTAGGAGTGACTGCCAGGACAGCTTTTTTTCCTGCAACTTCGAGGTTATAAATGATATACATGGAGTAAGGAGATTCCTGGCTAGTGCTTAAACGTAAGTATCTTAGGAAATGTTAAAAGAATATTAGGCTTTCTTTATATTTCTAGAAATGTAGCAGAAGTGAAAGATGGCTCAATGAATTTTCTTTGTCTATTAGGAAATATTTCAGATTATTTTTAAGATTTTACCTCTTGATTTTTTTATTGTTTAGGAGTTAGAAAATGCTACAGTTATTAATGTCTTTTTTGCTAACTCTTTTGCTATATCAAATTATTATAGTATTTATAAAAATATTTTTACAACCTGAGAAATAATTATATTTTTGTGAATTAATAACTTTTTTCCCTCTCTTTTTAAAAAATCAATTGAAGACAGGAGTGAATGTACAAAACATACTTCCGGGAATAACTTGATTTCACTAGATACAGACTACAGAGCTGGTTCTTCATTTGAACTCTCTCCATCTGATAGCTCTGATGGAACATACATGTGGGATGAAGAGGGCTTGGAGCCCATCGGAAATGTCCATCCAGTTGGGAGCTATGAGTCGTCTGAAATGAACAGCATAGTATGTATGGATTTATATATACCCTTTTGGAAAAGTTTGTTTACCTTACTTTAGAAAGACTTGCAGTATTGATTGGCTTATTTGTAAATTAATGAATTAGCTCTCCTAGTTTTAGAAATGGAAAATCATATCTTTTAAGGGCCTACAAAACATCTGATTTTATACATAATAAAGCATATATTTGTGTCACATGACACTTCAGTTAAATATACTCTAACATTTGTAATACATATATACATAATAGACATACTGTATTCTTCCTGTTAAGGTAGGCTAGTGGTTCTCAAAGTAGGGGAAGGGCAATGTCAAGAGGTATTTTTGGTTGTCATATTGAGGAGTGCTACTGGAAAATAGTGGGTAGACACCAGGAATGCTGCTTAATGTCCTAGAGTGCACAGGAGAGCACCCATAGCAAAGAAGTATCTAGTCCAAGATGTTAACGGTGCTACTGCTGAGAAACCCTTTACTAGGCTATACTGAGCCAACTCTCAGGAGCTTAACAAAATAAAAATTTATTCTTTATTCTTAGCAAGTCTATTATAGGTATGGTCAGCCTTCTAGGGCAACTGTCCTCAGTGTCTAAGCTATTTTGACCTTGAGGCTTTACCATCTCCTTTTGAGGCCTTGTCACTGTGGTAGAGGAAGAGTGCTGGTCTCACACATGCAATTACTTTCTTTGGCCTGCAGATAGCACATGGCACTTTCACCCACAACCTATTGAAACAAACTAATCTTATGTAGTAAGCAGGCAGGAAGCAGGAATTATTTTCACGTGTACCTGGAGGGAAGGGAACCAGAGATGGATAAACACTAGAAGAACTACCATGCATTTCTACATGCATATTTTAAGAAACATTGCCAGTAATGTGGATGATATACTGTATGAGTGAAATATAGTTGCTGTGTCTAAAGCGACTCATTGTACTCAGTATATAAAATGTGATTTTCCAGTAAGTGTGTGTGGGAAAATTGGTAGTATTTGTGAATATATTAAATTCCAAATGGATTTTAGGTTTTGTAATTTTCTACATTCGTATAACCTGTGATTTGGGGGGGAAAAAACATTGTTATCATAGGCTTGTTAAGTTGCACAAACATAGAGGAGGCACACATTTAATTTAGAAAGAATATTACATTAGAAAGAGGAAGTTAAGAAAAGATGACAGTTTAGGGCCTTACATGCTCTCTTATTATTAGGACTTTTTTAAGCCAATGTTTGAAGTGGGAATGAACATTGTGTCCAGCAGGTGGCAGCAATAAGCCAGTTAGTATTTGACATTTTTCAGAAGGTTCTACATCTTCAGTCCACCTTTCCTGTAACTTAATGATACAGTAGCTTCTTTGAGTTCAGAATGCACCTAGATTGTTCATTAGTCTTTTAAGATCTTAGATCTTTTGATCTAAGAGGAAGTCTGAGAAAGGATGGAGAATTGATGGCAAAGTGTGTTAATATATTCTGATAGTGGATTTACCGTTTTTGCTCTGAAATTCTGTCAGTATTTTGCTTTTAATACTTTAAGTTAGGTTTGGAAGTTTTTCCTGGTGAATTGATGATCTCTATCCCTCTGTGCTTTTTGTCTTAAGGCCTCTTTTTCTGATATCAGTATATTTTAATATACCAATTTTATTTATATATTTTCTACCCTTTTATTGCCAGACTTTTGGTTACATAGCAAATAGGTTATTATTTTTAAAAATATATTGTCTTTTTATTTTAACTGGTGGGTTTAGTCCCTTTATGTTTGCATTTATTGATATACTTGGACTTCATTGTGCTATCTTATTATTTTTATTTAAATTGGCTCGCTTTTTCTGCTCTTTCCTTTTTTTTTTCTAAATAGTTTAGATATCTTTAACTTAACCCCAAAAGAACTTAAGTGTGTTCTCATTTTTCTTAGTCTCTCCATTGCCTCTCACCAGAGGCCTTTCCTGAACCTGTGTCCCTCTCCCCGCCTTCCCCCCCTGCAACTCCCCAAAACCACTACTAGGGTTCTCTACAACAGTGCTCATTACAGTCCAGGTCAAGGTAAGGTGCTTTCACTGGAATATAAGTCAACTGTATCACTACTAACACAGTTTAGTTCAACCCACTATTTAGTTCAATTAACATTGTTTTCTGGCAAGACTTTCTCTTTGAAGTAAGTAGTATATTGATTGATACACATTGTGGTGCCAGCTCCTTATCTTGTCATGGACCCTAACAACACTCTAGAATGACTTCTTTGCATGCTTGGATCTTGAAACTAGGCTATTTTTTTCTTTAAATACAGTTTTGCGGAGATGTAATATACATACAATAAAATGCATGTCTTTTTCATACAACACAAGGGAATTTTGAAAATTTGTATATACTTGTTAAACAATCATCCACGTTTCCTTTGCTTTCATTCATTCTTTCAACTCCCCATGAGAGCGACAACTGCTATTCTGGTTTTTATATCACTATGGGTTAGTTTAATCTATTCTTGAATTACATATAAATAAAATAATAAACACGTCTATTTCATGTCTGGCTTCTGTGAATCAGTATTATGTTTTTGCTCGTTGTACTTTGTTTATTTTTTTGGTAATATAATATTCCTTTATGTGAGTGTACTTATTTTGCTTTTGAGGGGCATTTAGGTTGTTTTCAGTTTTTGGCTATTGCTGCTGCTATGAAGATTTTGCTATATGTTTTTTGGTGAACATTTATGCGTATTTGGTAAAATATGTAGGAGAGGAATCTGTGGATTATAAAGTATACTCCATATAGATTTAGAATCTGTTTTCCAAAGTGGTTTTACTAGTGGTTGTACTAATTTACCATTTTTTTCTTTATTGTTAGTTTTACTCACTGATAGTAAATGAGCAGTCCAGAAATTCCACTGGGTGTTGTCTGTTGAATTTTTGCTGTTCTGGTTGAGATATGGTGTAGTTTTGCATTGAGATTTTTGTCTTACATTGTGGGATAACTACTTGTTGAATACTTTCATATATATTTATTTGCTATTAGGATATCTTCTTCTGTGACGTGCCTTCTATTGGGCTGTATGTTCTTTTTTTTCCTTAATGGTTTGTAAAAATCGTTCATATATTTTGGACATAAATCTTCTGTATACAGGCATACCTCAGAGATATGGCAGGTTAGGTTCCAGACCACTACAGTAAAGCAAGTTCTATTTTGTTTGCTGGTGGAAAGTCTTGTCTTCAATTTGTAAAAAAATGCAACATCTGTGAAGCACAGTAAAGTAAAGCACAATAAAGTGAGATATGCCTGTGTGTCTCACATGTATACATGTACACACATGTGAATGTGTATATATGTGTAATATATACGAGGTTTGCTTTTTAAATCTCTTAATGTCTTTTGTTGAAGTAGAAGCTAACAATTTACTATATTTTTCTTTATTGTTAGCTCTTTTTTGAACTGTGAATTTTTTGTTTATCCTAAAGACATGAAGATATGTTCCAGTGTTTTCTTATAAAATATTTATTTTTTAACCTTTCACATTTAGAGCTACAAAGCCATCTGGAAAGTATTTCTGTACGTGGTTGAGATAGAAGTCAAAATGAATTTTTTTCTGTTTGGGAAAAGTCATCCTTCCCCCACTCTACTGCAGGGTTATTTTTGTCATAAGTCAGTGACTGTATTTATGTATTTCTTGACTCTCTTTTAGTTCATTTATTTTTTTGTTTATCCTTATGTCAATGTTACATTGTTTTAATTACTCAAGCTTTAAAACCTTTTCCAAGGTTTTCTTAGCTCGCCTTTTTCAATCTATTTAAATATTAGAATGAACTCGTCAGTTTCTGCAAAAAACTTGCAGGATTTTTTTTTAATGAGATTACATATAATTTATTGAACAATTTGGATAAATTTAACATAGTTTCTATAGTGAGTCTTTCAATGCATGAATATGGTATGTTACTTTATTTTGGACTTTAGAAATATTTCTTGATAATGATTTATACTCTTCTGTAAAATTTAAACATATTTTCTTTATTTTAGATATTTTGTTTTAAATGGTACTGCTTTAAAATTTTAGTTTTTATGTTTTTGTTGTGTATACAGATATACTTGTGTTTTGTATTTTGACCTGTTTCAGCGACCTTAGTAAATTTACTTTTATTAGTCTAATAATTTGCCTGTAGATATTTTTGGAATTTCTGCATTTACTATACAGTCATATCATTTGCAGTCTTCATTCCCCCACCCTCCCTTTATTGCACTGGTTAGGACCTCTAACATAATGTTGAATTGAAATGATGATAGAATTTCAGGAAAATTTTAATAATTCACCCTCAGTTTCTATGTATGCTTGGGGAGTGGAGTTAATAGATATCTTTCATCAGATTAAGAAAGTTCCCTTTTATTTCATTTGCTGAATTTCTGTTGTGAGTGAATATTAATTTTTACTAAATGCTTTCTGTACATCTATTGAAGTTATCAGATTATTAGTCTTTTTTTTCTGTTATATATTTTCTGTTAGTGTGGAAGATTGCATTTCTTGATTTTCAGATATTAAACCACCTTTTCATTCCTGGAATGAATTCACTTGGTTGTGATGTATTATCCTTTTAAATGTTGTTAGAATTGATTTCTTTCATAATGCCAGGGCTCAGTATTTATTGAGCTCAATAAATGTTAGCTATTTATTTTTATTTTGTTATCTTTTAGTTTTAATTATTTTACATTTATGACTTTAATGCATTTGAAGTTGGTGTGAGACATAATAATTTGCCCTCATTAATATTTCTCCATAATATACTTGGGGTGCTATACAGAAAAGACAATAAAGCAGGCCTGAGATTGCCTGTCTTTTGAAAGGCCAGTGCTTTCTTGTGAACAGTTCTCCTTCAGTGATATAAAACTCGACCTAAGTGATAAGAATGTCTCACTGTGCCTAAAGTGTACAAACAATGTAGTTGATGCTGAACATGTGCTTTCCTTCTGGAATTCTAGGGTTTTGGTATGTGCTAGGTATAAGTGCCCATGTAACCAGCCTGCAATTAAAACCACC